TTCCGGGCTCCAGCCCGCAAGGTTGCTGCCCTCAGGCAGCACAGCAAATCGAGGCTCCTCCCCCTCGCCGATAACAGACGTAAGGGTATGTTCCATGGATGGACGAACTTCAGGCACCTTTATCTCATCCGCTCGTTCCTCGTCACTCGTCGATTCCAGTTCTCTCATAGGCGATGGCGGTGAGAGCGTATAAGTCTGGTTGCGATTCAACAGAGGCCCTAGATTAGGAATGAACAAGGAATTCTGAACATTCGTGAGGGTAGATAAGGCCGACACTTCCGGATCTGAAATACATTAGGCTACTATACCACGAAACCATTTGGTATGATGGATAGCTTACCGATGACGTCCAGAACATCCACAATATGAGACCGATATTCGTCGTCCACCTCATGGTTTTGAGCCGGAGCGCTTCCACCGACCGTCGACGCACGATTCCGCGTGAAGCGGTTCACACCCACTCCACTAGCCCATCGCATGGGGGTTCGACTTCCCCGTCTCGGTATCTCTGGTAGCGGAGGGACATTCTCCGGCATTTGCTGGTTTGATGCGGAGGAAACGATCGGACTCGACGCCTCCTCTTGCACCGGGCGCATCTGGCCGCCCGTGGTCACCCGTGCCAGAGCAGCCGGGTTGGGCGTAGACCATCGCCCAGGTCGGGGCTCCGAGTTGCTGCGACGGCGGTTGCCCTGCCATGACTCGTCTTCAGCGGAAGCTGCTGGGATGGGAGCAAGAGGGGACAGAGCGACACCAGGAGTTCTGCTGGTATCACCATTTTGCTGCGATTGCTGTGATCGGGGGGTGGATAAAGTGGCCTGCTCAAACGAGGGCAGGCGTTGGAGGCGAATGGACGGGCGGCGAGAACGCAGCGAGGCCGCACGTTGTCGGGGGTATGACGTCGGTCCGGAGGAGGGCGTGGCCGACGGTGGCTGGCCTTCGTGGGGATCGGGCGAGCCGTTGACGGGCTCGATGGGGTCCATTGAAGACGGCGTGCACGAAGAATCTCACATGGACGATGAGGTTTCTCAAAGGGAGGGAAAGGGAAGGAAAGGAAAGGCAAAAATATTGAAGAGGCGAAGGATGGAAAGTGAAAACGAAAGGGGCCGCAAAGGCTAATTATTTATTGGAGGATGGGATTTGCTGCCAGGAAAGGAAGCTGCCGTGGTTACGTCGTGACTAAGCCAGTCAGCATCACCACCCTAATTAACTGACTGACTGACTAGTAGTTAGTTTCCAAGTGGATTCGTCGATCCTCCAAGGCTTGTCGGGGGGTCTTTCTTGTTCCTCCAGTGGATGAACCTTGCAGTTGTGCGCTGTTCTTTCACATCTTGGTTTATGCATCGGTGTATATAATAACCTGAATTTTATTTTGTTAGCTGCAACTCTCTGAAGCACAAAGATAAATATTTAAATTAGTCAGTTCACCAACTTGGCACCGTCCAGTCCAACTACGGTCTAGCCCCCCGTGGACTGCCTTGGGCAACAACCGTGCGTCTCCCATTGCTGGATCCCCAATCGTCAACTCTTTGGGCCCTCTCGCAATCCTCCACTACTGAATCACAAAGAATTTCAAAGTCTGGCCTTGTTCCATGAATATCGGTGCTATATACAAATTGTATATTCATTCAATACTCTACCCCTGCAATAGCCTTCAACCCTCAAATATCAAGAGTGGCTTAATCTGACTCGACAAAAATATATACATCCCCACCCAAAAGACCCGGCTCCGCTTAGTGCCCAACCATTGCCTGGTGACGCTCATTATATCTATTTCCCTGCGGCTTGGCGGCATCAATGATCTTGCGCATCTCTGCTTTCTCCTCATCGGTCAGGTCGATCTCCTGAGAAGCCCAGTTTTGCTCCAACCGGTGCGCCTTGGTTGTGCCGGGAATGGCAATCATGCCTTGAGCAGCAACCCACGCCAGGGCCACTTGGCTGATCGAACAGCCTCTCTTGCTTGCGATTTTCTTGATCTCATCCACGATCTTCTTGTTGGCGTAGAAATTTTCACCTTGGAACTTAGGGGCTAACCACGTTTAGTAGGCATAAGTAAGAAGTAATTCTATATGGGCAAAGCAACTTACAACCGCGACGGAAATCGTCAGGCGCAAAGTCTTCGGGCGTCTTGAAGGGAAAGTCGTCCACGAGCCAGCCGTGTCCCAGAGGACTGTAGGCCACATACGCCACCCCCAGCTCCTTGGCGGTGTCGATCAGACCGTCCGTCTCGTGCAGGGTCTCAAAGGCTGAGTATTCGGCCTGGACGGCGTCGATCTTGGCAACTGGGAAAGGTTAGACAATGAACAGTGATAGAAGTCAGGCAGTAAAACTAACTGGAGTTGGCTTTGCGCAGAGTTGCAGCAGAGCATTCTGAAAGTCCAATGTACTTGGTCTTGCCTGCCTTGCGGATCTCATCCAGAGCCGGGATGGACTCCTCAAGAGGGGTGTCTGTTTTGGGTCAGCGAGTCTGAAAGAAGACATGGATGCATAGCACGTACTAGGATCAATACGGTGGAGGTAGTATAGGTCAGGTGTGAAGCCTAGTCGTTCAATGGTTCCTTCAATGTATTCCTTGATATGGGAGGCGGAGTTGGTGACGGTAAAGCTTTCGACTTTGAACCCGCACTTGGAGGCAACTGCATCGGTCAGTACCTAAGTATATCAATGGGTTACACATGTACATACTGAAGATCTTATCGCGCACATTGTGCTTGCGAATGAAATCCCCCAAAAGTTTCTCGTTCACACCCGCTTGGTAGATAACCTGAGTCCATGGGTTAGACTTTCACACCTTACTCAAGGAGTTGATGGGTTAAACTCACAGCAGTATCCCAGAAAGTGCATCCAAGCTCGATGGCTTTCAGCAGAACCGGCTCTGCTTCTTCAAGACTGAGGTTGTAGCCCAAGCCGAAGCTGAGGCCCATGGCACCGAAGCCAGGCGACGGGACCTGAATGTCTTGGAAGGGAAGTGTCTTGACCATTTTGACGAAGGATGTTGATAGTGTTGAGAGATATAATTCTGTGTGGATCTTGAGAATCTGAAAATGGTATGCAGGCAGGTATGGAAGCAGTTCTTATAGGAACAGCTGTAGGGTCATGACATCGGCCATGGCTCTGCTTCCGGGTGGATCATGGACAGTCCGGCACGGGCTCGGAAAGGACCCTTTCTTTTGCCGAGTATCCATTGTAGCAATTGATTCGCAGCTTGGGATTCAAGTTTCCACTGATGTGTGAAGTTGTAACTTCTCTCGCCTCCAGTGTAGTCTCATACTATGGTACCACAGATCGCCTATGCGGGCAGCTTACACGCTAGCCGGCGGGAGTATCAAGTTGATGACCGCTTAACTCCCCCAATATCCGTTAACTCCGACAGAACCGAGGATATGTCCATATTTTGTTAGGAGAGTGAACCACCTACCTTACGATCATGATGGAGATTATGGAATTGAAACATATTTCAAAAGCATGCTAAACCTCTTTCTGGTTCAGCGCATATGCAAGGGTCAGAATTTAGTTTCTACTCTAGTGCCGATGCGGGGTCCAGTTCCGTTCTCATCCACTAATGTTAGAGTGGCAACTCTCATTCCGACGGAGATTTATTCAAGTCCTATAGTTCTGACTGCAGTTCTGCGAATACATAATGAGCTAGCCGCCCTATGACGAACGTAGATATTTCTGAGCATCCTATGAGGGCTTCAGCTTACCAGGCAGTAATTCTTTCTGTACGCATCAAGTTTTGAAAATTACTACAGCGTCTGAAACGAACATTCCTCGGCCAGCAATTATAGTGTGGTGGATGTCAGGATCCAGGTTCGATCTGTGAACCCACCCAACGGTGTATCCGGGGACCGAAGAAAGGCTTCATATAATCTTGAAAGAGCCGATTGATGCGCTTGGAGGCCATAACATCCTTCATCAGCAAGTCTTTTATCTTGGTCAGAGATTTGACAGAGAACGCCATCCCACACATGTCTGCACTATACTATGTGTTGCCAACACATAATGCACTTATACCTCCAAGGGGGCGCACATAACGGAACCCCATAACCTGGGTAATTATCGCTGTGTTTCAATCAATGTCCACGGCGTTGAGCAATGGGTTTTGCTTGATGCAGGGAGCTAAGATTCCATAATCAATTGATCTAATAGCAATGCAGAAACGTTCAAAGTGCGCTACGGCCGGCCTGTGACTTTTCTTGAGCACGTGGTAAGGCACACAATCCCCCCATAAGTGCTAAGCAAGGTTGGCTTGGATAGTGACCTGATCAGTACACTTACAGTTGGATATTTACGCTCGATTTCTCGTTCCCGACGCGGATCTCCTGTGTATTCCTATCGGAGATTATGAGAGGGTCGATTCCAAAAGGACTGTCTCCGTTCATTGGATCTACTTTTTATAGTCAAATAGTCCGTTGCAAGATCAGCATCGCATTTATAGTGCATATGCAGACGTTCTAGTGGACAACGCACAGCATTGATGGCCGAAGACATCCCCACAACCAGACTCCAAGCTGTCGCACAGCTACCTAACCATGTCACCTAACCAACAAGTGTCCGACCCGCTACTCTATATCAGCAATAACCTGTTGCAGTCCACTGATCTTCTCTGCCTCTGCAGGGTACTGACAATACTGTCTTTCCTAGAGGTATCCACTAACAATCCTCTGTTATTGTCCAGCGTTAAATTTCTCTACGACTTGACCGCTCACAGGTTTTTTTGCCAACATCCACAGTAACTCGCTGAAAATCTGGACGAAGAATATATATATCAATGAGTTGAAATACGTGGACATGGTCCTCGGCTCTCATTGAGGATGCTCTTGTTATATGGGTACTATAGTGCCCAAGGTCGGAAGATTGGGCAGTACTAGTAGACCTAAAGCCATCAGTGCAGGTGTATAGATAAATGTTCTATTAATATATCCAGGTAGACCCACCCTCTGGTACAGGACAAAAACAAATTACTTTTGAGGCCAACGAATGAAACAACCGCAGAAGCAAATATGCGGACAGCTGCCGATAAGCACACTATCTTGAACGCTAACCTAACTACGGAGTACAAGTAGCTAGGTGATAGGTTATCGGAAAGGAAGATGCTTTAGTTTATTTCTATGATATGCTTCTTTTGCTACTAGCTACTGCAATTTCCAGCGATGTGGTAATCATCACGGAATCGAGGTATTGAATGGATTGGTTCCTACCCGTGCAAGGAAGTATAAGACTGCAGTGTAACTGGAATGTCATGAATGATATAGAGATGATATATTACTACCGGATTTGTTAAAAGGATCCGAACAGTGGGAGGGGTAAAGAGGGGAAATGGAAACTAAAAGTTACATGTGGGCAGGCAGTACCAAATAAATCGCCCAAACATGCTGACAAGTGAAGAGGTTAATGCCAGAAAGAATAAATTAGTATAGTATGATGGTATGATAAGTCAAAACAAATGATCATCCAAGATAGGATACTCAGTGTTGATGTATGTTCGCATTGCGCGCAAAAATATATTTCCCCTACTCACCAATATACAGGCCGCTAATATTTCGAGGCCAATAATAAAACTTCCCGGGCAGTTGCAGGTAGAACATCATGGGGATTGTTTGGGATTGGGGCGGGAGTCGGGCGATTTCGTGGAACGGAAATAGATTGGTTGAAGGGTGATGGACGGGGTGCGTCATGTGCTTGATGTCTCGGCTGCAGGGGGGAAAATCGGGTTTGCAGGATGCATACAGGAGTGACAGACGACACTCTGCAGTTGATTGATCGAGCTTTCACGGACCCCATGTTTCGAGCTACAAGGAAAAGAAAATGAGTGGTGACAGTCAAGGAATTGAAGCCTCAATTGGGAGAAATGTTGCCGGTACTACGACCATTATCAACAAACAGGGGAGCAACTGATTGGGACGAAGGGGAACTGCCGGGTGGAAATGGATGGAGTGGCGATGACGGGAGAGGGCGATCTGGCCAGATACAAGTTGGTTGGCAAGTGGGGATGGGGCTCGCGGGCAACCCGATTAATAAATACTAAGGATGAACTGGCGACTGCAGGTCAGTTAGTTACTCAGTAATGATACCATTGCGTTGTAAATTTTAAGGTGTATTCCCTGCAAACAATTGTCATTGTTTTTTTTTTGGAAGGTTATATTATATTTCACGTGGGAGGGAAGGTCAGTTGTGTAGAAATGGCTCTGATTTGGGAAGCAACGATGTTTCTCCCCAACAACCACTAGTGTTAATCGAAGAAGGTTCATGAAGGAGTGAGTCAACAACCGGTGATGTCAGATCCCCTGCAAAGGGCTCCAGCTGCTCCATCGCGTCTAAACTGCTCCAGGGAAGGTGCCTGAGGGCCGCCCAGACCGCCGGACGGAAAGTCCACGTCGGGCACCCCAATACAGTCTAGCGTCGTACGGAACTGGTACGGCTGGCCAGCTCCAAGGCATCTTCAGGCAGATCTGGGCTGATCCAGGCATCTTCAGGCAGCAACCTGCCCCCTTCGGCATAGGCCCGCCACCGCCCTCGCTGCCTGCCCTTTTTCTCTCACCTTCTCCTTTCCCCCCCCCGTCGACTTCATCCTTCCTCTCAAGGTAAATCTTCATCAGTTTCAATACCAGATTTCCCCCAAGTCAACTCTCGTATCTAGGGCACCAAGCTACCCTTTTCCTCCTATCTCCCCCCCTCTTCAAGCTATTCCCATTCCCATTTGCTTCAAGGAATTTCAAGTACAGGCAGCCTTTAGCTACTCCTGAGTCCTTGTCTTAACCGCACACAAACCCGGTCAAGACTTCCCCGCGCGCAACTCAAACAACCGTTCAATTCTCTCCACGCTCAACTCCGTTGCGTCCTCAGCCATCAAGATGTCTACTGCCGTCGAGAACACTACCGACAACGTCGCCTCTGCTCCCGCCACTACCGCCCCCGAGGCTACTACCAACGGCACTGCTCCCGCCCCTGCGCAGTCCACGGACGCTGCCGCTGCCAGTGCCGATGAAGGACGTCGGTTGTACATTGGGAACCTCGCTTATGCGACCACTGAGGGGGAGCTGAAGGAGTTTTTCAAGAACTACAAGATGTAAGTGTTTCGAGTTGCTTTGCTTTGTTATTGTTCCACCTGGCCTTTCACCTCCCGGCTGGTCTAAGCTCCGTTGGGGCTGGTCCTAGCGGTTGGCGAGAGCCACGTTTCCAACACCCCCCTTGCTGCCATCGGATGGTAGTACCGCGCAGCGGTGGTATGTGACTACTACTGCAGGCACGCCAATTCTTCAGAGCTCCATTTCTGAAACCCCCTTCATTATCTACATTCTTATGCGGAAAGTAACATCCAAACTAACAATGGCTCTTTCACAGTGAGAGCGTCTCCATCCCCGTGAACCCTCGCACCAACCGTCCCGTTGGCTACGCCTTCGTGGACCTCGCCACTGCCCAGGAGGCCACCGCTGCTATTGAGGAGCTGTCTGGAAAGGAGATCCTCCAGCGCAAGGTCTCTGTGCAGCTTGCCCGCAAGCCCGAGCCCGCCGAGGCCAAGGCCGAGGGTGCTACAAGTGGCGGTGAGGGTGCCAGCGGTAACGAGGGCCGCAAGAGGGCTGGTGGCCGTGGCCGTGGCCGCGGTCGCGGTCGTGGTCGTGGAGGCCGTCTGCCCCGTGCTGGTCGCTCTGTAAGTGACTCGTCGTTTTATCCTCCATCCAATTGAATGCTAATCTCCATGTAGCAGGCCCCAGTTCAGAACGGTCAGGAGGCTGCCGAGCCCACCAACGTTTCCGGTCAGGCTGCTCCTCTGACTGAGGTCACCAACCAGAACGAGACCGCTGCTGCTGCCGAGTCCAAGCAGGCCGGTAAGCCCCGTGCTCCTCGCCCCCAGAAGCAGCGCGGTCCTCCCGAGGATGGTATCCCTTCCAAGACCAAGGTCATGGTCGCTAACCTTCCTTATGACCTGACCGAAGACAAGGTACGGACGATGAAGTCAAAAAACACAGCAACATGCTAACTCCCTCCCAGCTGAAGGAGATCTTCGCCGACTACCAGCCCGTCTCTGCCAAGATTGCTCTTCGCCCCATTCCCCGTTTCATGATCAAGAAGCTCCAGGCTCGCAACGAGCGCCGTAAGGGCCGTGGTTTCGGTTTCGTCACCCTGGGCTCCGAGGAGCTCCAGAACAAGGCTGTTCAGGAGATGAACGGCAAGGAGATCGAGGGTCGTGAAATCGCCGTCAAGGTCGCCATCGACAGCCCCGGCAAGGAGGACGACGCTGTCGCCCCTGCTGAGGCCGAGACCACTGAGCAGGCGACCGAAACTCCGGCTCAGGAGAACGCTGCTCCCGCTGCTGCTTAAATGACAATCTCGTTCCCCACCTGAACGAACACAACCCCGTGGAAACTCGGGGGATCGATTGGAGGAGGTGAAGTCGGGACCCGTCATCTGCATGGTTTTTCATAGTGGGCGTCGGCAGGAGGCCAATTTCTTATCCGCATGGGGAGAAAGGCGCAAGAGCAGAAAGGAAAAGTTCTAAAGCTGAAACCTTTTGACTATTCTTCCTATTTGATCTGGTCCTAGGGGGTTCTTTATATGTTATATCCGGATACCCGAAAGGGATTCGTTGTTGGAGATGAAAACGCCGTAATGTGATTGTCTGACGGAACCTGACCTTTGCTCACGAATCTTGCCATTCTGCCACACTGTATCTTAGCAATATTTATTTAGCTTATGATTAGCCGCAAGGCTGGCCTTGTAGTATTGTGCATGTGTTTATCGTAGTATTTTCCACGCCCGTACTCAGTCATGAATATCCAATCTATTCTTCGCTTCATTTTACTGATAGTTTCACTAGATACCCTGGAGTCTGTAGATCTTAACTATACACCGTAGTAACAGAACACATCGCGTATGCCACATCCCCACATTAAAGTCAATGGTCATCAGTACGGAGTAATACTACTAGGTAGTATGTAAATCCAGCCTGGATTAGCACCGCCAATGGGAGAGGAAAAGAGTGTCAATTTGATCACCGCAATGAATTATACGGATATTCCGTTCCTGTAACTTTCTAGTAGCTACCATTATGGCACCCGCGTTACTTCGGTTACTAGTACTGCACTGCCAGATATGTAATTTATACTGGAGTTTAGTAGTAGATGTGGTATGACTACAGTTGTGTGCTTGGGGCTTTATGTTGATTGGTTGATTGGTTGGTTATAGTATAGTGGATAGTGGTATTTGGAGATTGCTGTATATTATAGGTATTCTTTCATTTTTACTAGGTAATTAGTTAGTTAGTGGTAATTTGGATGTCTAGGTAGGGAGGGGTCCTTTGGGTAAATACGTAGTAAATAGTAGGATGGATGGATGGATGGTATGTTTTTCTTTTCTCTTTCTTTTTCTTTTTTTCTCTCGTTTCTTTTGTTGCAATTGGACTGACAGCGTGATAGTAGTTATAGATCAGGATGGATACTTAGATAGAAGGGTTGAAGATGGAGATGTTGTGGAGGGGTTGGTGGGTATTAGGCTGTACTATTAATCTGTTTAAATGGATATCGAGATTGCTCGAATACACTCTTCTAGCTTTTTGCTTTCGTAGATGTATTGGATCTCGGGATTAGTGTCTGTCAGGTATTATACATCATGTCTTGACTATGAAGAAGAAGAAGAAGAAGATCCCCTTTCAATAGCCTGTAGTTGAGAATAAATATAAGAAAGACTTTTTATATGACCCTTCCCCTATTTTTTCCATACTGAGACAGGATTCAGAAGAGGACGCTTTTATGGCAATCTTTTGCAGTTCAAGGATGTTGAATTCACGGTATCTCTCTTGGAGTTGTTGCTTTTCATCCCAGAGCCATCTTCCACTGGTATATCGGAAGAAGTCTTTGGGGTTTCCGATGATGTTTGGGAGTGATGTTGATGAGAGTAATGTCGGCTCGAGAGGGGTGCTGGAAATATCTTTTGTGGGCATATCGCTAAGGTATTCCGTATCCCCTTGAATGGGGGCGAAGATATGCGCATGGTTATCCCAAGCGGTTATGGAATTATTGAAGTAGGATATCACGAGGGCGTAGTGTAAACATCCTTGATTTGAGTAATCGGTCATTAGTCATTCCTTTGATGCATCGTGTGATAGATACTCCAATTCATCTTATGGTATTAGTCTTGTAGCAGGTATCTGTGCGTGGATTCGTTTTGGTCATAGATACTAGTGTACTTACTTGATTTATGCTGCATCAGTTTCAGATTGAAACACAATTATGACAAAGTACTTCAATATCAATAGATTGGTATGTTGTAAATATAATGACTACATAGCAGCTCTACAAGCTACGAAGCTGAAATAACTTCTGAATATACTCTACCTCCATGAATTATCCCACCCAGCCTGCTCGATAACAAATGCGATAGCCAGTTCGGAGAACCGAGCCATGTGCTGGCAAATCGTCAGCAAGATATGGACAGGGGGAATGCGGTCAACTTACTTCGATAGAGAAGACGCCCGTTTCATCGTCAACGTCCATCCTATCTTTGATGCCGTGAACATAGGGGTCCATTTCACCTGGGAAAGAACCCCCAGCGAGCGGGTTGCCTTCAGAGGCAAAGGCAGCGGGGTAATTGAGCTTGGTGTACGACATGTAGTCGGATCCAGCGTTCCTTATAAACCATTCAGTACCTGGCGTATCTCGGGGATACTTTGGGGTCTTACGGGCCAAGTTCATAGACTTCCGCTGGAATGGAGATGTATTCTCGACTGAGATTGACGGTCCAGTTTGTGAGCGCTGCATCGGCTTGGGTTGCAACAAAGCCGATGGTCTCGGTTGCATTACGGGCAATGAATGCTGTCATATCCTATACAGGGGTTAATAATGATAGATGGAAGGAAGCGTTGTCGGATGACCTACAAACTCCATCATGGCACCAATCTTAGCACCCTGCTCCTTCTTATACCGCGCAATAGCTTGACTGCCCAATAGCCCGCCCTCTTCAGCGGCATACCAGTGGAATTCGACAGGCCCGTCCTTGGGCGTGTAACCGTTCTCGGCCAGAATACGGAAGGCCTCGAGGATACTGACAGTGCCGGAGCAGTCATCGTCAGCGCCAGGGGCGGGCAACAGCGGAAAGAGATAGTTGGCCGAGTCTTGGTGCGCGCCAATGATGGTCAAAGGTTGAGAAAAGCTGCGGACTTTAGGCTCGAAGCGTGCGATAATCGAAGATTGGGGGAAGGGGTGGGTGAAGTATTCGAGAGAGATGTGGGTGCGGAAAGGCGAGTTGGAGATGATCTTGGTTCAGTAAGTTCATATCCATCCAAGGATTGTGGCTGTAAGGGAGGAAATACCTCAGCAATATGGTCGTGCAGCCATTCAGAGCTCTGTTCGCCGTGAAAGTCCCCGTAATATCGGTTGTAGTAGGAGGTCATGTGCTGCAGGACATCGTGCATTCGTTGCGTCTCAATTTGAGAGAACAGCGGCTTCACGAGACCTTTATGGGACAGCTTGGGAAGGTCTGAGGGGGTTAGTCTAACAAGAATTACTGTGCCAGAAAGGAAGACTTACTGGGATCCCCAGAAACCGAAGCCATCGCCTGCTCCGCGTAAAAGTCCTGATGGTCGGTGATGTCTACGAACTTCTGACCGCGTTGGCGGAGGCGCAGCTTGTCGCCTTCAGTCATCCATTCCGCCTTCTCTTCGCCTCTAATGTGCAGAAGACGGGGTTCAGCCAGAAGAGCTGCAGTTTCAGGACGTAAAGACACCATCGCAGCAACAGGGTCGGAATAAGTGTTCAAGGCCGAGACGATGGCCTCGTCCACGACGTGTTCGCCGAGTGTAGTCTTTGGGACCTCGCGATCCGCGGCGAAAACTACTTGCGAGTCTGGCTGTGGGTGCGGGGAAGCCAAAGCTCCTGCAGTGCTCCAGAGGAGCAAAAGATGGGATGTTCTCATAATAACAACCAAGTTGCTGCGGATATTTAGGTGCTGGATTAGGGCGCTGCGAGCTGTGAAGTGTTGAGTCGCTTGGGTGAGGCTTGTGGAGGAAGAGGAGAGATAAGAGAGGTAAATAAGCTCTCCGGCGGCAAGGGACAAAGCAGGCAACGGTCGGGCCTGCTTAGCGCCCGCCGGAGTCCGGAACCGCGCTATTTGCTGGGGGGCAGCCTGAATTTTTGGGAAGTTTGGTGGTGCCTGTCATTCCAATTGCCAGCCATAATTGTGGTTCCTTATCGGTGTCCAACCTGGAGGAGTCAATAATGCCACTATCGGGTGAAATCACCTTATAGAAGTGACTCATGCTCTACGGATTGAGTTGCTTAAATTCAGCATAAGCACTAGTCATGCCAATAGTGTCATATGAGAATGCTCGTGGCTCGAGCTTTTTGACTACTGCGTACCATTGATCGCTTTATCTTGCCATCTCCTTGCTGCAACATCTCAAGTGACTGACAGCTATAGCTATGCTTGAGATAGCGGTGGGTTATAACCTACATGGAATGAGATTCGAAATGGCTCCAAGATCACCAAAAAGTTGAAAGTATCAGTTCAATGAAAGCCGTCCACATACTCTTAGTCGCTTGGCATCCTACCCGATCGTATGTGAGAAATGCTTCGCTTTCTCTGATTGCACAGACATGAGGCTTGCCAGCAAATATTCGTTGATTCAGCCATAACATAGGCAGCATATAGCAATGCCAGGGTGTCTGAGAAGGGGCCTGCTATATTCAAGTTCGCTCTCGTGCAATTGCCGAATCCATCGCGATACATAGGATCGCTCAAGATGATTCAACAAGGAACTCTCCCCTCGCCGATGCACTGGCTGAAGGGGTCATCTTGGAATGAGGTCAGCCCCAACAAAGAGATCGGCTGCAACTAATCACTACACAGCTTTGAAGCCAGCCAAGTCCTGACAGTGGCCGGCGTTGCACTGGGTCTCGACTCTTCTACTCCACACTCCTCTGCTTCTCATGCCGTGGTCATCTACTCCTGTAACAGAACGTATTGAAGGCTTGCCCAAGTCACAGTCAACCGATAATTGCTCTCTACCTTAGTCACCGTCACTGATATTACTGATTTCCCTCTAGGTACAGCAGTGAGAAAACCGACTTTCCAGGATGTTGATAATGTCAGTTATATTGATCAGAACACATAAGTATTGAAGCAGTGGATCTTCACCCTCTTGTGTTGAGATGCCGTTTGAAGCCCAATCAATGGGTACCACAGTTGGCTGAGCTGGAGCCATGGGACAGCAAGTGGAACTGCTGGCCGCATCCTCGGCAGCCAAATGCCGCCTTCCATTAATTGCACCCTGGAAACTACCATCCCTTCTCAACTTTCATACACAGCCTCACTCGTTTCGCCTGTTGCGATATCTACTTTTACTGTGAAGTGGACCCGACAGGTTGAGTTTCATCTGGCGGGTGGAGAGACTAATAGAAGCTAAGGATAGTGCCCTCTTCTCCCCTCCGATCGGCCCCTCTCTTCCTCGCTGCTGAACCTCCCCGATCTCTCACCGCATCCAGGGGCTGGGGAGCATTGAGCAATTGCTGCCCGTCTTATTCCCGTCCTTCATCTGTGCTTCCTGCTCTTATTATCCTTGACTCATCATGTCGCGAATGTGGGAGGTCGATCCGGAGACGAGGGCCAAGGTATGCCATCGTCACCCCTCCATCTCCTGATTCTGCCACTGCCTCCGCGTCGACGTCGGAGTTTTGGATAACACACGCTGACTGCCCTGGATCTGCTCTCCCCCTCTAGCTCCTCCAGTTTTCCAAAACCAATGGCAACGATAAATGCTGCGACTGCGGCGCCCCTTCGCCTCAATGGGTATGAATCCTCCATCCTCAGACGTGCGCGGCACTGTCGCCACGATTCGCGCAATCGTACCAACCGACAATACGCCCACATACAACCATCACTGACACACACTCTACACCCAGGCATCCCCTAAGTTCGGTACCTTCATCTGCTTGAACTGCGCTGGCACACACCGTGGCCTAGGTGTTCACATCTCCTTTGTCCGCTCCATCACTATGGACGCCTTCAAGACTTCTGAAATCCTCCGCATGGAGCACGGTGGCAACGAGCCGTGGAAGGATTTCTTCGATTCCCATCCCATCACGCAATCCGAAGGTCGCACATTCGAAGATTCCACCATAAAAGAGAGATACGAGGGCGAAGTTGGCGAGGAGTGGAAGGAGAGACTGGCTGCGAAAGCCGAAGGAAGAGAATACGTTCCGGGCCAACCCAAACCGCAGCAACCGAAGAATAAGGAACCAACATCTCGGTCGAGCACACCGCTCGCTGCCCGGACCGGATCCCCGGCATCGCACGACGGAGTGCCGGAGATGAGCAAAAAGGAACGCAACGAGGCGTATTTTGCTCGGCTGGGTAACGAAAACTCCTCGCGCTCGGAGTCGGTCCCTCCATCGCAGGGAGGCAAATTCACCGGATTTGGGGGCGGAATGCCGGTTACAAACACGCCCAAACAGTCAGGTAGCGGGGCGGCAATTCCAGGATTTGATGATTTCCAGAAGGATCCCATGGGTGCGTTGACGAAGGGCTTCGGATGGTTTGCAACGACTGTAGGGAAGAGCGCGAAGACAGTCAATGATTCGTACATCCAGCCTACGGCGAAGACGGTACATTCCCCATACATCCTCTATCCCCGTTCGCTATGTGTCATCAACATACTGATGACCTCTCCACCATTTAGATAGCAGAATCCGACCTTGCAGCACAAGCGCGCATTCACGCCGCCACCCTCGGCCAAAACATGCAACACGGCGTCCGTGGCGCAGCGGACCATTTCCATCGTTTCGTGGAAGGACCCGACGAAGCTGCAGCGGCAGCCGCGGCACGGAGAGGCCGTGTTGAACCGGAGAGGAAGGATTTTTGGGACTCGTTTTCTTCGGTAGCAGCGCAGGATAGCCACCGGAGGACCGCATCCAGGTCGAGTGCCATCGGCACTGCGGCAATGAAGACGGGGCCTAGTGGTGCTGGCGCTTCTTCGACTTCGTCTGCAGCTGCATCGTCCGCAACAACTGGCACGGGGGCGGGCTCGTCCGCGACGGCAAGGAAGAGTACAGATGAAGGTGGATGGGATGATAACTGGTGAAGAGCAATAGAGACGGACAGATTTAAGACACAAACGTTGTTATTATTGTTCGGGAGAGCTTCGCTGGATAGGGTACGTTAGATTGGTTACAGATATGGTGCATTACATTACCTGTTTCATTTGTTCATCTGGCTGGAGTGCTGGTGTTGTGTTGTGCTGTGTGATGTGACGAGACATTTTTGCATGGCAGTGTGCGTATACAATTGATTGATATTGACTTATCCATTGGTGGTCTCTGTGTGATGCATTGTAGATTGTATACTCCAGAAGTGTTCCTACTTCTCTCTCTCTCTCTCTCTCTCTCTCTCTCTCTCTCTACCATTTGCATCGACTTCCATAACACACATGCAGAGCGTTGATGTAATGTATCCCCAGTCCCTTCTACAAATCACCTATTGTGCTTGCACAGTATCATGGAATAACACGACCTGATTATAGTACCAATAGTATAATATACATCTTGATCTCAAATCCATCAAAACATCATCATTTCCTCATATTTAACCCCCTTATGGAAAAAGAAGAAGAAGAAGTCTCATGTCAACCACCGACATAAGAGAGCCTTCAGCAGAGAATATTAAACTCACGAGACTGCATTATTTGCTCCATGGATATATCAATCGTACGACTGTTACTCCAGAACTAGACAATATTATAGAGTTAATACCGATATCAGTATCTACTGGTGAATGTGAACTGTTCAGAATCTCTGCAGGGACAAATTTCTGTTACTATCAAGGTACGGTTGTTGTATTCCTTGATGATATGAATCATAGTAAAGTAGTATCTATCCCCGACGCCAAAAAACCCAATCCGGATATCAATAAATCTAATCTAATCAATAATCTCCCTCGCCCTCCTCATCTCCTCCTCACTCGGCATATTGACAATCATCATATAAATAACTTTCTAGAACCAGATGTTAGCAATCAGCCCCAACTCAATCAAAGAAAAAAAATACTCATGAACATACCCTCTTCAACAACTTATTCAACCCACCGCCCACAAACCCCTTCGTACTCTGATGAGGAACAGGCTTTCCCTCTGCGCGAGCCTTCTCAGCCTCTTTATCTCCCCCCCTTGCCTTCTTCAGCGCAGCATCAGCAAGACCACCGAAGAAGGACGGTTTCGCTCCCCGAGCAGATCGCCCCTCGATACCCATCCAGCCGAGGATCGTATCATCGGTGAATTTCCCTCCCGTGGCCATGGCGAGTAGAGATCCGCTGGCGGCTTTATTGGTAGGGTCTGCGTACCGAGAGGTGAATTCGGGCTTGCGGCCCATGGCGAGGTTGCTTTCGGGGTTTTTGGCGATCTAGATACATCATATTATATTAGCTGGGCTGTTGCCCCTGGTGATCAAGATGGATGATGATTCACTCACGAATTTAGCTTGATCTCTCTTATCGTAGTATTCCTCAACCCCTTCCATCGCGCGATGCACTTTCCCCAGCAAGACTTCGTACTTTTTCTTCGTTGCCTCGTCGACATCCGGATTGTGCAAGTCGGGGAAGATAAGAGGGGAGAATTGGTCGAAGGTAGAGTTTGCTGTTGCGTTGGCTGTTTGGTATTTTTGTTTGATTCGGTGGAATCCTTTCTCTGGGGTTCGGGCGGAGGTGATGGTGTTGTTCATGTCGAGGTCGAGGATGGCTTCTTTTGATTCTGGGGCGTAGGTCATGAGCAGGCAGAAGAGGCCGCGCGGCATGAAGAAGTCCTTGTTGACTTTGTCGAAGAAGTTTCCGGATCTACATTCATTCATCTATTAGCACGTGCGTGTGTATGAGAGAAAGAAAGTTCAGGGAAATGCAAACCAACCTCCGTCTCCCATCAACAGCCATACCAATCCTCACAACCGCATCAGCCACAATACCCATGACAAACCCAACCGTAGGACTAACAAAGTATCCTCCCACATTGTTAGCCAGGTTTATAACCTGAAACCACTGCGACCCGACACAGGATTTATTAGCCTTGTCGACATAATCAAGAAACATCTTCTGATCGATACCGAACTTCTCAAGTTCGGGTGCATAGGCACGCACAAATCCTCGCTGCCGGTCCTTCGGCCGACGCTGAGGCAGAACAACTGGATAATCAAGCTTCGGAGGGCCGAACTCGACACTTGTGTCGTAGTAGCTCCAGTTGAGAGGGACTGGATACTCCCGGACAAAGGATTCCGCTAGCTTCATGCTATAGTCGGCGTCGTCTTGATCGGGTGGGGGTGTGGTTGGGTAAGTTACCCCACGGAGGTGGTCTTGTGCTTCATCCAATTCCCATTGGCGCTCGATGTCTTTGTCGACTTCGTCGTATTCTCGTGAGTATACGGAGTCTTGATCGTATTCGTGGACTTTGGTTGTGGACTTTTCGTCTTTGGGAGTGAGAGGTGTCTCGGTGGAATTGGGCGAGTCGCTCACTTCTCTAGATGTTTGGGGGGAAGGGTACTCGTTGTGTGTTGGAGGGTAGCTGCTCTCTGTAGGATAGGTGTTCTGCGTGGGTGGTTGACCATGTTCCCAAGGGTGGTAGGCAGTGTAGGTCGGCGGATGGCTGTTCTCCATGGGAGGGTAGTTGTTTTGGAGGGGGGGTTGGCCATTTTGCATTGGAGGGTAATTGTTCTCCATGGGAGGTTGACCGTTGTACATGGGATGTAGACCATTCTGAGCAGGAGGGTAAGTATTGTAGTTTGGAGAGTAGTTGTTCTCCATGGGAGGAGGGTAGTTGTTATGCATAGGAGGATGACCGTTTTGTGCTGGGGGATAGTTGTTCCCCATAGGCGGAGGATAGCCGTTATTCATGGGAGACGGATAGTTGTTTTGCATGGGAGGTCGGTCATTCTGTGCAGGAGGATATGTGTTATGGGATGGTGGATAGTTATTCTCCATGGGAGGAGGAGGACTGTTCTGCATAGAAGGACGGCCGTTTTGCAAGGACGGACGACCATTTTGCATCGAAGGACGAGTATGTCCCCCATCCTCCGTATGGTACAAAGGTGCCAAACTTTCAGTCTCTTCAACAGGGGACAAAGATTCCCCTTCCGCATGTTGCTGTTTCTCTTTCTGCTTCTTTTCATGATGCTTCGCTTTTTGGGCTTTAACAGTTTCCGAGACGAGGCCGATCCCGGCACTGGCTTGACGGATAAAGTAACCCATGACGAACAAAAAAAGACAAGTACAATTAGAGACGTATTATTTTGCAGTCAGTTAAGAAAGATGAATCAAAAGATCTCTGGCCAAGCATTCAAACCAGACAGCTAGAAAGGACATATTTATACAGACCCTTGCCCACCATCCCTCTCCCCCCCACCTCCCCTCGGTGATAAGAAAATGGCCCCCAAATGTATACGTGCTAGGGACCTCACCCGCCCAACCCCATAAAACAAGGGCCGCGTCAGCACTAGAACCACTGAATATCAACAGTTGATTGGTCACCTCGTTTGGCAAAAGCTTTTCTTTGCTGCGCCTTACTCCGCTGTCACATCTTAACCATAAGAAGTATCCCTGGTGTTCCACCTATTACGGGTGGATTTGGGGGCGGGTCAAGTCTGCCTTAAGTATATGATAGGATGGATCTCAGGCAAGCTTTGGTGGAACACATCCATGATTGTCTTGGTACGATGTACAGAGTAATAATTGAGTATGTACAGTACTACTTTGGTATTTACCCTAAATATCTAGAATAGAATCCTCTATTTCGAACATTATGATTATCATAACTACATACTACATCGCATCACGATCATCAATAACAAAAATTCCACCTTTTAATTTACCATAGATAAGTGATCTTAAACCCCTATCAGTAACAATGTGATGACCCTGACTCAATCCTGCCCGAACATAGCCTTGCGACAACTATCCTCTCAGCGATGAACCAAACCCAAACAGGCAATCGAGATGTTCGGGTGTGAATTGCGGGGGGTCTATTCCTAATACAGCAATGGTCATCGCCGCACTAGCTTATTGGGGTTTAGTACTCTGAGTTGGATGCCGATCTTCGTCTGAGCCCCTGCCTCAGCCGCAGAGCTTGGTGGAACACATCGGAAATTGTTACCAGGATGTCAGCCCCGAGCAAAACATAGATGTACAGCCGAACATCGACAAGGCTGGATTTGGGGTAATTAAACTGTGTGGAATCCGTCTTGAATATTGTATTGGTTCTATTATGTGAAGTGTGGAATACTTCTGAGAAAATCTAGTTGTAAGTAGAAAGAAATATATATAGATGAAATGTACACATAGTATATGTGTATATTCAAGAATCATATGTCAATATGTACAACCAGAGGAAAGTCGATGAACGTAAAGATCATTACGACAGTCTTGTTTATACCCAACGAACATTCTATATCATGAGATGCCCCGCTGCCGGCTGCCGAAACGGGCCGTAGAAGGGAAGACGGGTTAGCTTAATAGGCCCCTGCTTAAGATTGATGATCCTGATTGCTCTTGTTCATGTAGAAAGATGATCTAACATCAGACCAGTCTTGATGAACACCTCATTCTGGCGCGGAATCAGCTATTCGTGTCTTACACTCCCTAAGGTTTCAGCATTAAAGACAGATCTTTTGGAGGTATTTGCGTTAACGGGATTATTTGCTTGGTTTGTTACATATGGAGTTAATTAAAATGAAGATAATTAAGTATTAAAGTTCAATCAGTATCAGCACTAGATATTTCACGTGCGTGAGCTTATTCCGAAGAACAAACCTTCACAGATCTTCCTCATCCAGCTGGTCGCTTTTCCAGTTCCACTACTAAACCTTTCACTAGTTTCCAGACTTGTAGCAACACTATGCTTTGATCGGCTTCAGATTGATATTCAAAGGTGGATTGTGCCACACAATCCAGGCCCTCTGGTTCGAAAGCCAAGTCTTGGGATCTGTAGCAATCTCCAAATCAAAGTGCAGAAGCAAGTTGCATATGAACAGGGACACGATGTAGTGTGCCATGCTAATAAAAGGTCAGTGCTTTTCTTGACTTCTCGGATAGGGGAAGAAAATAAAAACATGTAGAGATCAGAAAAAAAGATACATCTTAGAAGCAACAGGAAGGGCGAAGTGGGTGTAGGACTTACTATTGACCAATGCAATTATAAGGACCGACAGAAAACGGCTTATACGCATCCTTAACATCTTTAGATGCGAAACTGTTCTCCTCCTTAGTATTGTACCATCGCTGAGGAGCGAAAGTCTCCGGATCATGAAAGTTATCCGTGGAATGAAAAGCTGCAAGAGGAGTAACATAGACGCGAGTTCCACCAGCAACCCATTTACCAGCTATAGTGACCCCGGGAGACGGCACCAAGCGCCCAGGAGTGACAGGAACAGCTGGAAACACACGAAGGACTTCCTTAATGCAGGCATCAAGAAGGGGCATGTCGACCATATTCTTCATAATAATGTCGGAACTGGTCTTGAACTTTGAACGAACCTCATTTTGCAAGTCCTTGAGAATGTGTGGGGCAAGGAGAAGATGGGCGATCAGGCCGCTCAAAGCCACCGCAGATGTCCCGGATCCTGCGATATTCATGAGTGGTGCATTGGCCTGTATTTCTTCAAGAGATATGTTATCTGACTTGGCGTCTGTGAGGAACTGCACGATATCTGCGCGATATGAGTTCGATGCCAATCGTTTCTCGAGCCTCTGGTCCGTTGTAGAAAAATAGAGTCGTCGCATTCTGAATACCTCGCGAAGAATTGGCTTGAGTATGATCCTGGCCAGAGGGAAGTCTGCCAGTGCTTGGATTACGGCAGCACTGGGTACTATGATCAGCGAGGCGCGCGCAAAGGCCCGGTGGGTTGTATCATCCAATAAGTGAAGTGGTTCCCCGAATTGAAGGTCATTGATCATGTCGAAGAGGGCCAGGTTCAAATACAAATTGATGTCGACAGGTTTGGCTGTCTGATCAATCTCAGCATGAAGCTTCTTGATTAACTTGTCAATATGCTGGATAATCAGAGGCTCCTGAGCAGCCAGTGCTTGCTTTGAGAAGGCGCGGGAATACAAACGTCGCAGTCTGGCATGATCTTGGTTGTTGGCGGTGACCAAAGAATGAAAACCGTATTCCCCTGCCATAGCCCTGAAGAATACCATATTGCGGGGTATAGCGAGGGGCCAAGCTGCGCTACTCGAGTAGATGTCTTTCCAGGCGCTTGCGGCGGTGAAGCTGAGCTCATCCGGAGCCACGCGCACCACTGGGCCGTACTTTGCGTGCAGCTTTTCCAAGGTATTAACTGATTTGCCAATCAAGACCAAGAAGAAAATGGGAAGACGACTGGAAGCCATGAGACGAGGACCAGGATAGTGCTTGAGGGGGTGAAAGAATATGTTGTAGATGACGCATATTATGGAGTACTGTTGTTCTTGTTAGTGGATGAACACGAAGTCACTGGAAAAATGAGAGTGCTCACGGGAACAAAGGCCCACGCAAAGGCTTTGAGAATGAATGGAAGAGATAGTTCATCCATGTTTAAGGTCATCTTGCTCGGTAGTAGCTGAGAAGTATTGAGGTTACTGAGGTTGAGAAGTTGAGAGGTTCAGAGGTGAGAGTATGTTTGAAGAGAAGGGTAACTTTGCAGTGGAAGGAGCGGGTTCACAAATATATAAGTACGATTCACCGCTTCGAAGTGGAACAAACAGGAATTGAGAAAGCAGTCACTCGCTGTCATGTGGCGAGAAGCAAATCTAACTCGGTCTACCGTATGTAGCAGGAGCAAGGAAGATTTGAAAAAAAAGTGAAAACAGGGTGAAGTAAGTCCAAAAACGGCAAAAATGACAAATAAAGTACACAGAGGCAAGTGAAGAGCTTGACTTCGTAATGAGCACACTGCATTCCAGAGGTGAATGATCACGATGGCCTATGATCCTTTTGTGATAGTTCGCGTCGGGCATAACTTCCATAGAAAGATAGAACAAGCACTCAGACCAACTTCCCCACATTGTTTACTTGTCATATGCCTAATGGAACTTTAAAATCTAAGCATATGCAATGGTAATCACTCAGATATGTTTAGGGGACATCATACCTGTGACATGTGCTTGGCATTGCATATTTGTATGCGTTGGCCATCCTTCGATGTACACTTCAGCACCGTTCGAACAAAACATGCTGAGATTGGCTATATGTAGACGCCGATTACGGAGATGCTTACAAAGGGAGTTCTTTGTTGTACTGGGCTTCGTAGGGCATGAGATGAGCTCGAAGTTGGGATGCCATGAAAATAAACTTCCGTTGATCTGATGTTCCGGGATCATCCCTGTGCTTCTTTGAGTTACTTACGATTCCAGGTCACACATGTGGCACATGTACGCAGATCCAACTAACAGGAACCAATGACCAGTGCGTATTATAGCATTGGCCAACATCCTTAAAGACTAACGCAACGTGAGATGTGACATGCAAGTTAGGGTATAGTGTGAACCGATCTTCCGCTGTCTCACACCGTTCACATTAGGGTGCCGAAGCCGGTGTGCTCAAGCCACCGTGCCCACATGTTCCTTCTCTTTCCGTATTTGTGTCCATTACTAGATTTGTGTACAAGAAATGTGTTTGTCGGTCTTATCTGCTAACATGGATAGCATTCACTAAATGGCACTAAATGTGAATCATGACCGCTGAATCAAGTAGCTTGGTTGTCCATAAATAATGACCTGTAGCCCATGAACCATTTCAGCATCATAACCGTCATCTTCACACAAATCCCTTCAGAAAGTCCACTTCAGTACGCCCTAGCAATGGGTCAACCCTTCTCTGTTAACCAGGATTCTACAGACCCTGCCACCAGTGATCCAGTCAGACTATTTTTTACCCTGGTATCCGCCTTCCTTCGAGAAGTCTTCGTCACTATACCCGACGTCCCAGCCGATGATGCCTTCGACGGAGAAGTTTTCCTCCACTTCAGCCGTTGTGGACTGCCCTCAGAGGTCGTCTACAAGTATTCTAAAGGAGCGGCCTTTATGGCACGATGCTTCTACCCACACCTAGATCGTGACACCCAATTGTCCATCGGAGTGTGGACGTCATACATCTTCTCAATTGATGATCTCTGTGAGGGAGCCGAATTCAGAGAGAATCTCAAGTATTACCGCGCATACCTCTTGGGAATCCACCAGCCACAGTGGGCCTACATTCGTGGCCTATTCTCAGCCCTGGAGGACCTCTGCGCCCGCTACGACCCCTTTGTTGGTGACATGATCCTCAAGTCCTCAATGGATTACATCAGTGTGAACGTTCTCGAAGTGGAGCAGAAGGGACGTCTCAAGGTTGATCGCAATACCAGCATGTTTCCCGAGTTCCTGCGGCAAAAGAGCGGAATCGGAGAGGCCTATGCATTCGCCAATTTCCCCAAAGGTGGTCTCGACATCGCGTCTTACATTACCTTAATTCCTGATCTGGCGGCGATTGTGCCACAGCTCAATGACATCGTTTCCTTCTATAAGGAGTCGATTATCGGCGACGAGCAAGATACTAATGTGATGCTTGTATCTGAAGTCGAGGGCTGCTCCGCTACTGAAGCGTTGGAGATGACGGTTGACAAGTGTCTTCATAGTATTCGGAGATTACGTGCAGCCTGCTTGAGAGATGAGGACCTTCGAGTTTCGGTGGACTCTTTCGTGGAGGGGTTTGCTTTGTATCATTTGAAATGGTCCCGTTATCATATGGATGACTTTGGGGATTTCCGCGAGTGGCTGCTGGAAGGTCACTGATTTTGGCGAATGTGGATAGGGCCGATGTATGAAATTGGTTCTACTAATACGTGGCTGTCGTCAACTTGGCGAGATTAATACAAGATATTTGGCGGATATTGTTACTGTGGATTTGGCGGGACCTTGCAGGGTCTTTGACATTTGGATTAGTAGTTGGACTGTGTCGAACTTGGCGATCACGTTTCTAGTGTAATGAAAGGACTGTATCGTATTCGTCTAAGGCATTCATGGCCAATGCATGAGTTCGGACTACAAGAATCACACTATCTCTAGCCTCATATTGTACTAGCTTGCACAATCCACACGGCCGATGAAGATATAAGTTCTAAGGCAAATCCGTGTGAGTAACCACACTAGCTATTGATTCCAGATCTGGATAAGTTCGTTGATACAATATAGCCCGTAACAGCCAACTGCCACCTCAAGTTTTCAGCTATATATTCTGACCTTATTCTAAGCTAATTACAATCTCACATAGTCTCATAGTTATGCCTTGCCGCATTGGAGCAAAGCATTGCAGCCAACTTGACAGTTTTTCGACATCAGCACCGGAAGAATGTCCAGGAGTATCCGTGGCTATCTAATTTAAAGACCCATTTCTCCTCCATCCCCTAGCGAGCGCATTGCAAGTTTCCGGAGATGGCATGCCTGCCTCGCCTTATCCGACTCAACACATCTCACCTCGACATAAATCCGTATCTGAGAAATCCTTCGTGCTCGGCCAGCAGAGGTTGCCATGCGCCAGCTTTCCCAAGACCGAGGAACAAGCCCATAGTCTGGTGTGCGTTGTGAAAGAAGTCTTTCTGTTTTCGCTTTAGAGAAAGAAAAATATACACAAGTTTTGAATGACTTCGTTGAAATGGCTGTCCCGAGCAAGGGAGCTGGTGTATGGGTAACCAACTACAAAGCCCCAGGCATAGTATCGAGAAACACGGTTTGCGACTCACAACTAATCTGCACCACCAGATCATCTGCCAAGGCGATTTAGGTGACAACTTCTATAGCTCTGGAAAGGGCACCTGTGACTACTACATCCCCCGTCTCAACTCAACAAGCAACTACCCCCCAGTATCGGTATCAAATACATGTGTGCTCATCCCAGAAACTTCTTCGGCGAGCTCGCCCTTCTATACAACGCACCGCGCGCCGCAACCGTCATCTCAAGCGAGTTCGACTGCCTCCTCTTGGTCCTGGGCAGGGTGTCCTTCTGCCGCATCATTGGCGGAATTTGCATTCGCCCCGGGCTGGGAGTATTGTGGCCGCCACGGCTGTGGTTGTCGCGGTGTAGGATCGGCGTCTGTATGGTTGCTGCGTCCGGTGGAGGATATCAAGCCAATTACACCGTATGTGGGGCTGTTGATGATGAGGAAATGGTGGGGTTGGGATCAAGTGCTCTTATGATTGTCGCGAATGAATGGGTGAATAAGAATGCAAGGCTTTCAGATGTCATATGATCTGCTTGCTGTTGAAAAGGTACTGATAAATAGACAAGTACCTTTTTCTATACGTTGTAGTGGGTTAGTTCAGTCTCGCCATGATTATCTTTCGGGTAAGTCCACACAAGCTAGGAAGAAAAATGGGAGCCCTCATTATAGCTTGGGCTCTGCTCCATACATTCTTCTACATAGATCCCTCGACGGGCCTGGAATGCTCCGGTTCTCCGGGAGTGAATCATAGCCCGGGTAACCATGTGGTCCGAACCGCACCCCAGACGATCGACGGAAATTAGTCTGGTTGGTCAGGGCGGTTCCCATGGACAATACGTAGTATGGAGCACAGATTTATAATAGAGTGCGAAGCGAGTCAGTGGCCAGCTACAGTCGGTCTCGAAATTCCACTGACCTTCAAACACATGATGATTGTTTTCTAGCCCCATTACCAAGAAACTAGTAGGGGACTTATAGAGCACCAGACGCTTGCAAATGGGGGTGGCTGTAAACCTTGTACAATACATAGATACGTGAGTAAGCAGGTATCAATTCATGCACCATGTTTTTGACTTAGTAATTAGCACGACTCCGCCACGACAGTAAGTAACTGTGTGAGGTACCGATGGAGGCGGCAAATTCGCCGAAAACTACCTACATTTCACAGCCCCATTCATTTACATAATTAGACTAGCTGGTATTGACAAATCAGGGGAGAGTTTGCTCTTTGCCGAGCTGCCCTGGCAACCATCCAATAGAAGTAAGTGTTCTCTCACATTGCCAAAGGCCTGCAGCTTACTTACTACAACAGCAGCAAAAATGATTTCAGGTTCTCTTCGACGACATGTTCTCTATCAGATACTGAACCTGTTCAAGTTGCGTGTGGCTCTCAAATTTGTCGGCGTCTTCGAAAGATGTAGGATGTAGCTCTGTGATATCCTTGCGCAACCTGCTACATGGTGTTTGCGGAACGAAATTGCGATTGGCAGCACCGCTCGATACTGACTCCGGTGCCCGATCAGCATTGCTGAACCTCGATCGTGGCTCGCCCTGTTTGGACGATGCTGTCGGTAGCATACGGCGGTTAATAGCGGCCATCAGGCAATAATGATTCTGATGGCTAAGTACACTCACCGCTGCCCTCCGTAATACGGTATCACTTTTCAGCCCCACCCCTCCTCGGAGAGTAGGTAGACATGTGCGGGCCTGGCTCGGGCCGAAGTAGAGTTCGAAGGAACTTGGCTCCGCACAACCTTCTGAGTTATTATGAAAACATATAGACAGAGAGGTAGCCAAAGCTTTTTCTTGTGCTGTGATTCACCAGTACACCTTCTTAGAAGCTACCTCAATCCACCGCTGTCCTGGTGAGAGAGAGATAACGGGTGAAATTCGGACAGCCGCAGAATTGGACAGCTCGGAAATCCCTGGTTTCCACGGATTTGGCTGTGGCAGGCTAAAGGCAAGCTGGCACATCCTTGTCCTTCAGCCGCGCCAGCTCATCAATACATGCACCACGAGTAAAAAGAAAAACTACCCATCGCTTGGCCTGAGTTACACGCAAGGAGCTGTGTTCCTCTCGGCACAGAAACCGATCTTGTCTATCTTCAATGAGACTTTCCAGATCAATCATGCCCCGCTGCTCTCAGGATGTGTTCTTAATTGACCAATATGGACCAATCTTAACGTTATAGGTACCGTTGGTATATACTGTAATGTTTGCTCATCTACCACTGTTCTGTGCGCGCTATCTGTCATTGACTGCAGCTCAATCAAAACATGACAGGTGTACAGTGGCTATCAACCATACCCTACCCCGCACGTAGCATAGGTATTTCCTATACTTATGATCCTACCTCGCAAATTCCATGGAGATTGATATTTCAAAGCACTGTGAATTAAGAAGACAATTCAGACCTTAGTTGGTGACTCTGATTCATCTCAAAAGATCTTCCGGAAACTGGGTTGTCATTATTACCCACCTACTTGTCCGTGGGCTGTTTGCATCTGTGGATCCACTTCTCGACTTCCCAAGACATCACAATGCGTCTCATCAATGTGCAGACATACAGATTAGAGGAGTTCTCCGAGGAGCAATTACCTCCTTATGCTATACTATCGCATACATGGGGAAGTGATCAGGACGAAGTGTCTTTTCGTGACATCACCAAGAGGAGTACCGAGCGTGCCAGTGCTAACCATTGGCCTATCAAATTCGAGGGATGTTGTGAACAGGCAGCGAAGGATGACCTCGAATATGTGTGGATTGACACCTGTTGCATTGATAAAAGCAACTCAGTGGAACTCAGTGAAGCTATCAACTCCATGTTCCGGTGGTATAGGAAGGCTAGAATTTGTTATGCCTATCTTTCTGATGTCACTGATGAGTCTGTTGAGGCTAATCCGCATATGGTCTCTGAATTCTCTGGAAGCCGTTGGTTTAAAAGAGGTTGGACACTACAAGAACTCCTAGCACCAAGGAACGTTCAGTTCTACAATGCTACGTGGACCCTCCTCGGTAGCAAAACAGATATGAAGATATTACGACTTATCCAGAAAGAAACCGGCATACCGCGTTTGTTTCTCCGAGGAGAGGCATTGACAAATGCGAGTATCGCACAACGCATGTCCTGGGCTTCAGGAAGAACAACAAAGAGAAAGGAGGATATCGCTTATTGTCTTCTTGGGATTTTCGGCATCATGATGCCAATGATTTACGGCGAGGGTGATCGTGCATTCATTCGTCTACAAGAAGAGCTTATCAAAAGAACCAGAGATGCTTCAATTTTTGCATGGGGCTTGCCATCAGAAACTCCTGCCCCCGTTCATTTTGAAGATATTACTTCTGCGGGATTATTCGCAACCTCTCCAGCCGATTTCGCCAATAGCAGCCATATCATATCACAGAATCGCGAGATCAAGTCTAGTGCCACATTTGTTGTTGAAGGCGGATGTGTCCGATCGGAAATTCCTCTCTACACAGACCCAGCTGGCCAGCTATTCGGACTACTCAATTGTGGCCTCCTGTCAAATAACAGTGGTAGCAAGGTAGTGGGAATCCCGCTTGTTAAGGATCAATCTGGGGAATATAATCGACCCGGAGGACATTACTCTCAATTATTCCCAGCATCTGAAGTCACCACCATCTCGCAAATCTACATCAAGACAGAGCGGGATCAGAAGACAACTACAGCATCCAGTTATAGCAACTGTTTTGAGATCGAGAATCTTATTGAACCTGGCTTAAAGCTGATTGAGGTAGAACCGCAAGACTGTTGGAGAGAAAAGGAGTCTCTTATTGCTACAAGCAATCATTGTCCCGGAAGCAATTTACAGCAATACTGGCTACGATTCCGCCCGGAAGATGAAGGATCTACCGACTTTATTGTGCTACTTGAGCTACAGATATTGGGATCACAGAGGAAAGCACAATGTCATATTATGACATCATCTCAAACTACTCCACTGAAGGATTTAGTTCAGTATTCTAGCAATATGAGACCAACAGCTTTTGGTCACAATGTTGCTCGAGGTAACTCGCGGAGCATCTATGTAACCATAGATCAATACACTACAGCCTGGATATGCATGTTTGTTGTTAAGATTGCTGAGACAACAACGTTGCCTACTATCACTGTGAATGCAACATTCGAGTTAGAACTACAGGCAGCAAAATATGAGCGGGAAAAGACAGCAAAAGAAAAGAATAAGCTTTATCTCGAAATCGGAAGATTCAATAAGCAGAGAGGAACGGCATACACGCTGGAGTCTGTTGAGGAACGTTTGGCTGAGATAAGACAAGAGCAAATCCAGCTAGAGGCAATTCAAATATGGCGGACTGAATTGTCCAAGAAGGAACTGTCTATCGAGAGGAAGTTTGACGATTTCGAAAAAACAGCCCTGGTAAATAATTATGACCCAGTACGGAGTGCAGAAATCAGTACTGCAAAAGGCGAGTTGGTGACTCGCAGGACACTCACAGAACATTCTGGTCAGGTTTGGAATGTGGCGTTCTCCCCAGATGGTAGAGTTCTGGCCTCCGCCTCTGATGACAAGACAGTCAGGCTCTGGGATGTGGCTACTGGAGGACTACGCAGTACATTTACAGGTCATTATAATCGGGTTTGGAATGTGGTGTTCTCTACAGATGGTAGAGTTCTATACTCCGCCTCTGATGACAAGACAGTCAGGCTCTGGAAGGTGGCTACTGGAGGACTACACAGTATACTCATGAGATATCCTACTTCGAATTACAGTGTGGCATTCTCCCCAGATGGTAGAGTTCTAGCCTCCGCCTCCGATGACAATACAGTCATGCTCTGGGAGGTGGATACTGGAGAACCATGCAGTAAACTCACAGGACATTCTGGTGATATTCACAGTATGGCATTCTCCCCGGATAGTAGAGTTCTGGCCTCCGCCTCTGATGACAAAACAGTCAGGCTATGGGAGGTGGCTACTGGAGGACTACACAGTATACTCACTGGACATTCTGGTCAGGTTTACAGTGTGGCATTCTCCCCAGATAGTAGAGTTCTAGCCTCCGCCTCCGATGACAAGACAGTCAGGCTCTGGGAGGTTGCTACTAGAAAACTACACAGTACACTCACAGGACATTCTGGTGTAGTTTACAGTGTGGCGTTCTCTCCAGATGGTAGAATTCTGGCTACCGCCTCCCATGACGAGACAGTCAGGCTCTGGGAGGTAGCTACTGGAAAACTACGCAGTATACTCACAGGACATTCTGGTATGGTTTACAGTGTGGCATTCTCCCCAGATGGTAGAGTTCTGGCCTCCGCCTCTGGTGACAAGACAGTCAGGCTCTGGGAGGTGGCTGGCGGTTTCTAATGATTAAGGGGCTCTTGGATATCAGAAAAGTTGTTTCTCGAATCAGCTCCCCACTATTTTATTCTCATCTCTTTGTAACGGGAGGGCCTGGGATAGTAGAAGCTTATATACAGCAGTTTACTGTGATGTATGACTATTCTAGAGCTTTCTGGATAAACTTGCAAATCCGGACAATTTACCACTAAAATGGACCCAAACGTTTTCGGCATCAAGGGACAAAATCCACTGGAACATGTGTAATGTTACATTGAACGGCATCAAAAGTGCTTGACAAGTGCAGACAGAGAGGTTATTCATACATCTGTCAGTGTGCAGCTCCCATCTTCTGCTCTCATAGCTAAAGACGTTTTCATCATTTCGAGGACCTGATGGAGGTGGGTGGATGTTTGTCAGTATACCAAGGTCTCTTCCCGTCTTCGATCGCTATATCTATGAGGGTAGTCACTCACAAACAGCATCAATCAGTCCAGTTCCTGAACTGCTGTCATTACTATCATTTTTATCTTTCTCTTTCTCTTCTTTATTATTGTTCTTCATCTCCTTCCTCACTACCACTGGAGGCCTGACAAGCTTCCAAGTCCTTTTTTAAACTGCTCCATCTTCCTCTGAAAACCACTGACCTTATCCTCTAACTCCCCCACTAAATCAAGCTCCTCCTTACAATCCACCGGGTCCAGAGATGTGACATCCACAACACACGATATATATCTTCAAGCACCGGCTCAGTAGCCCCCAAATACAGGAAACATGGAGCCCTGTGGTTCGCTGGTTGCGCACTGTATAGACTTCCTTGGCAGGTTAGACATGGCTGCAGGATTCAAAATACATCGCAGGAGGGTAGCTGTCCAGAAGAATTCAGGCCTCGCCGTCTTTCCACAGTGATATGTGACACATAGTCTCTCCTCCAGTTGTTGGACCTCTTGTCCATGTTTTGAGGGACAGAATCTGTTGAGATGTTCTCGGACCGTTTATGGGGAGATGGATCTGCCGTACAGGCGAGGTATGTGGGGGGGTGATGAAGTAGGTCTTGGGAGACAATACAAGGGAAAATATGCATACTGACTGAGATGTAGTAAGGACCAAGCGAGATGATAGCAATCAATGTTGCTATCATATAGTTGTTACTGTCATCCCATTCATGCCGTGTTCATCTCTATCTTATCTACTCATCTCTGTATATAGAAGCATTCAATTCCTAAATTGGCCATCACATCATCATCAATCGCAACCCATATACATACTATCGAAGTAATGAACTAAGATACGGCACCCCTACAACCCAACCCAATACCTCGTCCTCTCAACCCCAAACTCCCCCCTCAACTCTCCCTCTCCAGTTCCTGTGACCAGCACCCCGTATGTTCCCTTCTCTGACGCCCATTTCTCGCGCTGCTCGTCCCACCAACTCGTCGCTAATTTCTTCTCTACAATAATCTCAACCTGTTTCTCCTCCCCAGGCTGGAGGAACACCTTCGTGAACCCCTTCAGTTCACGGACGGGCCGGTTCACCTCCGTCTTTGGGGGAAGGACCCACAGTTGCACGATTTCTGCGCCGGCGACGGCGCCTGTGTTCTTCACTTTGACTGTGGCGGTGATTGGTTCTCCATCCGCGAGGGTGCTCTTCTCCGGGGAGGTAGTGAGCTTCAGATCACTACGGGAGAAAGTGGTGTAGGATAAGCCGTGGCCAAAGGGGAAGAGGGGTTTCACGTTCGTCTTTTCATAGTACCTGTATCCGACGTAGATGTCTTCACCGTAGAGGACGCGGCCCCGTTCGGAGCGGAAGTTAAGATAACTAGGGTTGTCCTGTAAGCGGACGGGGAAAGTTACGGGGAGCTTGGCGGACGGGTTGACGTCTCCGAAGAGAACGTCCGCGATGCCGTTACCACATTCGTTCCCGCCGAACCAGGCGTGGACGAGGGCTTTGGCTTTGTGGACCCATGGCATGGTGACAGGGGTACCGGACTGGAGACACACGACTGTGTTGTCGGGGTTTGCGTCGAGGACACGAGAGATCAGTTCATCGGTTCCAGGAGGAAGGTCCATGTGTTCGCGGTCGTTGCCTTCGGTTTCCCATTCGCTAGTGAGACCGGCGAAGATGATGACTTGGGAGGCTTGGCTGGCTTGGGAGACGGCGTTGGAGATCAGTTCTTCTTGGCTGACTTGGCGGGCGGCGCCGAAGCGGAATCCGCCGGGCCCGAAGATGACGATGCCCCGGGTGTCGAGGTCGGAGGTAGGGGCGCTGCCGAATTCGAGGACTACTTTGTAGGTTTGGCCTGCGTTGAGGTGCTTAGAGCCGCGTTCTTCGACGGTGGCGTTGCCGAAGAAGGCGGTGCCTTGGCGTTGGTTCTTGGTGTTGTCGACGACGGTTTCGTTGTCGATTAGGAGACGGCCGGTGCCGACTACAGTGACGCCGAACTCGTAGACGCCGGATTCTGTGGGGGTGAAGTAGCCTTCCATGTCGACGTAGAAAGTGAGGGAGTGGATCTTGGGGTTGACGTAGTCCATGAGGAAGCCGCTGGAGCGGAGGAGATGGAGCTCGTCGACGAGGGTGCGGTTCTCGTGAGAAGGAGGCTCGTTGTAGACACGGAAAGTGAACCCCGGTTTACCATCCTGGGTTTTGAGCAGCGGACCGAGGAGAGGAAGTTCCTTGTGGGAGTAGACTCCCTGCGAAAATTGAACTTCGGAGGTGGCTTTGGCGGCGACGCCATCAAAGGGCGAGACAGTGTAGTAGGGGTCTAGGGAGGCAGAGCCGCCGCCACAGTAAGCGGCGATTTGGGCATTGGGTCCGATAACCAGGACCGGCTTGTCTTTGCGGAGGGGAAGAATGTTGTCTTCGTTTTTCATAAGCACGACGGCTTCAGCAGCGGCGCGGCGGAGAAGCTCCCTGTCTTGGGGCCGGTTAAGGGCTTTTTCTGGGGCGTGCTCGGGGATGCCCAGAGGCTCGACCCAGTTGATGAGGTTAAGAATATTGCGGACACGGTCGTCCAGAACGAATTCGGGTACCTTGTTGGACGACACAGCATGCGCCAGGGCAGAGCCACGCCAGCGTGTCTTGCCGGGCATTTCGAGGTCCAGACCAGCAGCAATAGCATCGGAGGTGCTGTAGGTTCCGAACCTGGGGCACTGTGAATATCCATGCTAGGCAGCTATTTATAGAGATATTTCTTACCAATCACTCATAACCAGACCAGCCCAATTCCACTCCTTCCGGAGAATATCCGTAATAAGCTCCTTATTTTCACTGACATGCGTGCCATTAACCTTATTATAGGCCGTCATAACACACGCAGTAGGACATATCCTCATAGCCAACTGAAACGGCAACAGGTATATCTCGCGCAGGGCACGCATAGTGACGATGCTACTGACCGCCATACGCTCATGCTCCTGATCATTGCAGACAAAGTGCTTTAGTGTGGCAGCAACGCCCTTCTCCTGCAACCCCTTGCAGTAATTCCCAGCCAAAACTCCCGAAAGTACACCATCCTCGGCGAAAGACTCGAAGCCTCGACCGCCGAGCGGAGAGCGCTGGATGTTGATGGTGGGACCGAGCACGATATGCGAGCCCTTAGCGATGGACTCGTCACCCATCAGCTGGCCCACCTCGTGCAGCAAATGGGCGTCCCAGGTTGCTCCGAGGGCGGTGGCACAGGGGAAACAGGCGGCTGGGATTCCGTTGAAGAAGCGGGTGCCTCGCACGCCATTGGGACCATCGGACATGCGCAGAGCGGGGATGTTTAATCGGGAAATTGAGGCAGTATGCCAAAAGTCCACGCCTGCTGTAATGATTAGTGATCTTTTCTTTTTTTTTTTAGTTCGGTTATAGGTCGTTACTTGCCAGCCGTGAGAGCTACCTTTTCGCCCAGCGTGAGCTCTTCAATGGTCTTTTCCACGTCCAGACGTGCCATGGTGACAGAGACGGGAGGGTGAGTTTATTGTAAATCGAGAATTAGATGGAGTGGCATTCGAGTCAACTGCAAGTTGTGCAGCAGAGTCAAGTTTAAGAGGCGGAGAATCGTCGGTAACTGAATGGGAAGGGAGGGATTGAAGTATAAATTTATCACAGATCAGACTGACTCGAGTCGAGGACTACTACTGGAACAAGTGGTTGGAGCGGGGCAGACAGAGGAGTTCATATATCCGGAACTCAACGGTGCCTGACACCCCGCCTGAATGAACCATGCATCCGATGGCTGCAGAGTGGGATGGAATGCATCATGGATCAACATCATGAATGGCGGATCGACGGGAGGAATGGCCGAAGGAGCAGCCACGAAATGCCCCGAAGATTACCCGCTTGGTTGGGTCGGAGTGTCGGCCCGCCTGCCCTGTCGCCAGTTGGCCTTTCGTCTTGCAGATGGACCGCATATCCTGGCAGCCACCATCTTGCTTGCAGATGCAGATGCAGGGTCTGAAAGTCAACCACGTCGGACATTGTCCTACCCCGAAAAGCAAAACATCCCACTTACACCCCTTGTCCCTCGACTACTCATGCAGCCAGACTACGGACCAGAACTTAACTCTCGTAACGTGCAGCCAGCTGACTGCGAGTAGGTAGTAGCTGCTATGCGTCCGGGTATCCAATCAAGAACACAAATGGGGAATGGAGGAAAAAATTGTATGATACAGGCCATGCGTGCACATAGATCAGAAAGTCCCAGGTAAACAGACGGAACGCAAAACACCGTCCAACAATGCTAGTAATAGAGTCGCGTAATAGGTCAAAAGGAAATGGTAGATTCAATGAGAGACAAAAAAAAGAGCAACATGCAATCACGCATCATTCCGCCGGTATCAGACCCCTTGTATCTTCGACCATCCTTCATGCGCCACGTCGGGGCCGTTTGGATTCATTTCCCATCCGCATTCCTCCACGCCCACCACCATCGCCATGTCCTCCTTCATCCCCAGGTCGATTACGCTTGCGGTGAGGCCCACTAGGCGCCCCCTCGCGATGGTAGTCCCGTTCACGCGGACGATCCCGGTTACGGTCA